TCTGATTGACAATGGCCAATACCAGTCCATTTGAGCTCACTAATGCCTAGGTTATTGATCTTCATGCCTTCCATTTCATGTTTGACGATTTCCAATTTTCCTAGATTCAGTCTTCATACATTCCACGTTCTGATTATTGATGGATTTTTGCAGCTGTTTCTCCTCATTCTGAGTCTCGCCATATCAGCAAATGAAGGTCCCGAAAGCTTGGCTCCATCCACGTCATTAAGGTCAACTCTACTTTGAGGAGACAACTCTTCCCCGGTTGTATTTTGGGTGCCTTCCAACCTGAGGGGCTCATCTTCTGGCACTGTATCAGACAATGTTCTGCTGCTATTCATAAGGTTTTCACTGGCTAATTCTTTTCAGAAGTAGACTGCTGCACCCTTCTTCCTAGTCTGTCTTAGTCTGTAAGCTCATCTGAAACCTGTCAGCCTTGGGTGACCCTGCTGGTGTTTGACTACTGGTGGCATAGCTTCCAGCATCACAGCAACATGCACGCCCCCACAGTATGACAAACTGATAGACAGGTAAGGGCATACCGAACTAGTTATTGTTATTCCTATTTTACAGGTGAGGAAACTGATGCTCAGAGCAGGTAAGTGATTTGCCCAGCAGTTGGTAGCCCTGGGCAAATGGCTTGTCTGCTCTGAGCATCAGTTTCCTCACCTGTAAAATGAGAATAACAATAACTAGTTGGGTATGGGGAGAGTTAAGTGAGCCCTGGTAAGGAGCCCTGGTGGTGCAGTGGTTAAAGTGCGTGGCTCCTAATGGAAAGGTCAGATGTGGCAGTCTGCTTCCGTAAAGATTTACAGCCTTAGAAACCCTATTGGGGCAGTTCAGCTCTGTCCTATAGGGTTGCTATGAGTCAGACTCGTTGGCAATGGGTTTTAAGTGATAGGTTTGCATAAATATTAAGCACAGTTCCTGGCTCATAGTAAACCCCCAATAATTTCCTAGTGGAGTCAGAATAATAAATCCAAAACTATTCTAAAATTAAAAGATTATTTTAAAAAAGAAAAAAATTCTATAAGATTGAGTTGCTTGTCTGTTCTTATATCTTGTCTCCTTTCAGTTAAACTGGTAATTCCCATGATTCTTGGTGTTCATTTCTGCGTAGTATGTGCACATGTAATCACTTCCCTTGCATATACCCTCAACTCTCCATATCACACTTGCTTGTCAAAACCATGACCCAAATTAAATCCAGCTCTCTGTGACCTATGCAGCTGAACGTGGCTAGAGAAAACGCATGAGCACATGGACTGGCTCATAAGTACATGATCATGAAGCTCAACTGGTTCCCTGAAACTCTGACAGGCATTTTACTTCTCCTACCCCCTCCCCACTTGCCTTCTTCTCTTCTAGACAACTGTTTCATCCTTTGTCCCATCTCCTGAACCTGAGATACCGCTCCCCATCCTCAGTCTCTGCTGATGACCTTATTGCTTATTTCATCGAGAAAACAGAAACAATCAGAAGATGCTTCCAGGAGCTCCCACCATCACATCCGTGTCCATATTCTGTGCGTTCTCTTTTGTCGCGAGGAATGTTGTGTGCCGTCGAATCAATTCCGAATCAAAGCGACCCCAAGTGACAGAGTAGAACTGTCCCATAGGGTTTTCCAGACTGTAACCTTTACAGGAGCAGATCGCCACCAGGCCTGTCTCTACTTGCAAACTCATGGGAACCATCAGTTCTCTCTTTTCTCTCTTGCTTCATTACTCTTTGCCTCACTACTAGATCACTGTCATGAGTATTCAGACATGATACTGATTCTCTGATCTTAAAGAAGTTTCTCCTCTAACCCGCACCTGCTCTAGCTCCCTCACCATTTCTCCTCTCGTTTCACAGCAGAGTTTCTCACAACACTTGTCTGTATTTAATGTTGCTAATTCTTCTCGGAACTGTACTAAAACCCACCTAGACTGATTTGCACCCCACCATCCCAACAGCACTGCTCCTATCAGGGTCATCATTGGTTCTCACATGGCTGAATCCAAAGGACAAATTTCGATCCTCATCTTACATGATTATTATCTTAGCGTTGCCCCCTTTGCCTTGAGACACTTTCTTACCTTGGCTTCCAGGACACATAGCTACTGGTTTTAAGCCTATCTCACTGGCTGCTCTTTCTCAGTCACCTTTGAGAGTTTGTCTCTCTGAACTCTGGATGTTGGAGAGCTTCCAGACTCAGTCCTTACAACTTTTCTCTTATACCTCTGTCGTTGGTGGGTTTATCTGATTTTGTGCCTTTATGTACGTCTCTATATGCTGACAGTCGTCAAACTTACATCTCTATTCCCGCTCTCTGCCCTGAACTCAGACTCGGATATCCAAATGCCTATTCAGTATCTCTACTTGACTGTCTCTACTTGGTGGTCAGCTCACAGTTGGTCAGAGATCTCCTTGTTGTTGTTAGGTGCCGTTGAGTCAATTCTGACTTACAGTGATCCCATGTGATAGAGTAGAACTGCTCTGTAGGGTTTCCTAGGCTGTAATCTTTATGGGAGCAGAGCAAGTCTTTTCTCCCATGGAATGTCTGGTGGGTTTGAACCATTGACCTTTCATTCACCAGCCGAGTGCTTAACCATTGTGCCACCAGGGTTCCTTGAGATTTCTTTAAATGTCTGGAAACGATTGGTCTCTGTGTCTTTGCCAAGGGGCTCTTTGTTTGTGTTGGAGCAGGCCTTCAACACTCAGGCAGGCAGTTTACAACTCTGCCTTAACCTTCACTTCCTGCTTGTGCAGAGCGTCAAGGTTAGCAGGATATGAGAGCTTAGTCCCCTCTCAGGCTTTTCCTGAGCATGTACATAGCCATGTGCGTGCACACAGCCCTTGGTGTAAGGTGGCATCCTAGATTCCCAGGACTTTGTGGGAGCTTTTCAAAGCCTCTGTGGACATCTCATTCACTAACTTTTTCTTTTAAACATTTTGGTTAGCCCAACTGTTACCCACTGCCTCAGGCAGCCACAATGCTAAACAATTGCCATTGATTATTATTATTATTATTTTGGACAAATTTCTCTGTGCAATATGCTGTTCTTAATGGGTGAGTTCTGCGTCAATTCATAAAAAGACAGCCTTGTGAGTGGGGTCTTCCAGGGAACCACCAGACAGGGAAAACAATGACAGTTCTCTGGGAATGGGGCTTTGAAGGGGCCCCTACCCTCTTTTTCTCCCTCTAATGGCTCTGGTGGTGCAGTGATTAAGCACTTGGCTGCTAACTGAAGGGTTGGTGGTTCAAACCTACCAGCTGCTCCACAGGTAAAAGGATGTGGCAGTCTGCTTCTGTAAAGATTATAGCCTTGGAAACCCATGGAGCAGTTCTACTCCATCCTATAGGGTTGCTATGAGTCGGAATGCACTCGATGGCAATGGGTAGATGGGTAGCAGTTCCAAGCTGCTGGTTTTCACCTGACTACAGGCTGTTAGTTTTCAAGGTGACCACAGAGCGGGTGAGGGAAGAGTGGGACCGGGGTGAGTGAAAGTGCCACAAAGCATGCTGTTCTTGCTGAGATATGACCATATTTCCTGAATAAACACTCCCCAGATTGCTGCAAGCCTTTGGTTTATTTCCAGAGTTCTGAAAAAGCTGAATCTGACAATTTTTGCCAGGGTTCTTGTTGCTTTTGTGGAAGATAGACTCTTCCGAGGTCCTCACTGGGTTATTTATGCTGAGGTCACCATCTGCTCTGCCACTGGCCCTGTGTTGGGTTTACAGTGAGGGTCTTGTGGGGACTCAGCAGGCGCGACACAGCAGCTCTCAAACTCTCTCCCCCGCGCTTCCTACTAAAGACACGAGTCGGCAATAGTTAAGATGGAGGTGATTTTTCCTTTCCAAAAGCCTCTTTGTTTTCCCACAATTGAAGTTTATTGGATCAACTAAAAACAAGGAATCCAAAATCATGATTTGATGTTCACCTTAAGAATAGTCTTTGAAGCATTAGTAAACAGGAAATGATTAGCCGCATTTTTATGGTCTCCAGTTGTCCTTTCGGAAAAGGAACAGATAGGAGGTTAGCACACATGTAAGGGGCCCTGGTGGCACAGTAGTTAAGCACTTGGCTGCTAACCAGAAGGTCAGCTGTTCGAACCCACCAGCTGCTCTGCGGGAGAAAGATGTGGCAGTCAGCTTCCGTAGCTTACAGCCTTGGAGACCCTATGGGGCAGTTTTACGCTGTCACATGGGGTTGCTGTGAGTTGGAAAGGACTTGACGGCAACGGGTTTAACCATCCTCGTCTGCTACAGGAGCAACGGACACATACTCAGAAAGACAGAGTGAAATAGAAGGTACAAAGACTTGGACTTGAATGACCGATGCCAACAAGTGTTCAGAGACTGGAGCCATCACCTAGGACTAGCCTACACTCTGTGTGTGTCTTGTTTGGTTTAGCCACGTGGTGCGTATCACGCTGACAATATGGCAGGCGACAGCAAGTGCTACTGCCTCTTGTTGTGTGTCTTCCTGTAGCCTTGGCCTTGAGATGATGGCCCTACTTACCTGGTGTACTTCAGGGTGCCTGTTTGTCCCAAGGCCAGGAACCCTGGTGGCGCAGTGGTTAAGAGCTTGGCTGCTAATCAAAAGGTCAGCAGTTGGAATCCACCAGCCACTCCTTGGAAAGCATATGGGGCAGTTCTATTCTTGTTGTATAGAGTCGCTATGAGTTGGAATTGACTCGACTGCAACGGGTTTGGTTTTGGTTTTTTATTTGTCCCAAGAACCATGGTGGCACAGTGGTTAAGTGCTTGGCTGCTAACTGAAAGGTTGGCTGTTTTAACCCACCAGGTGCTCTGTGGCAGAGAGATGGCAGTCTACTTCCGTAAAGATTACAGCCTTGGAAACCCTATGGGGCGGTTCTGCTCTGTCTTCTGGGGCTGCTGTGAGTCAGAATCAACTCGATGGCAACAGGTTGGTCTTAGCACATGTGTTAGGTGCCCTTTAAGATAATATAATCTGTGTTTTTTCTTTTAACATCACAGGGATTTAATGCACAAAATGGAGAGTACACTGCACTGGCATGCTTCGTATTCTCCCGCGCGAGAACTCACATATTTCAGGCCGCACTCTTCCCCGTGCAGAGTGTATTCAAGGACTTGTTTCCAAAATATGCTCAGGTCTTCTTCTACAGGTGAGTAGTCATGAGCGAGCGCTGGCAGTAACAGCAGTAGACAACACGTATGTGTGTTTGCTGGGTGCCGAGCTCTGCTCCAAGGCTCCCCGTGTCAGTTAAGCCACCCTCTTACTCTGTGAACTAGGTTCTATTGTCAGCCCTCTTTTCTGTATAGGAAAACCGAGGCACAGGGTGATTAAGCAGCATGCCTAAAGGCAACAGAGTTTTTAAATGGTAAGGTGAGAATCTGAACCCAGGCAGTGATTCCAGAATTCATGGGCTTAACTACTGTGCTGTGTATCATATGCCTCGCTCAGTTTTAAAAGCAATAAAATTTGATAGTATACTTCCCCTGAAGCACATGTCTTTTCATTTGTTTGTTCGTGCATTAGTTTATTCATTTATTCACAAACCTTTTCGGAACCTTACTATGTGCCAGAGGAGCCCTGGTGACACAGTGGTTAAACGCTTGGCTGCTAACCAAAAGGTTGGTGGTTCGAATCCACCCAGTGACTCCTCAGGAGACAGGCTGATGATCTGCTCCTGTAAAGATTACAGCCTAGAAAACTCTAAGAGGCAGTTCTACTCTGTCACCTGGGGTCACTATGAGTTAGAATTGACTCAGCGGCACCTAACAACAACAACATGTGTATGTATTTTTCAATTTCTTTTTGCTGCAGCATGCTTTTTTACTTGATATTATAGTATAGACATTTTCCATATTAGTTCATGTATATATTTCTCATTCTTTTTAATGACTGCGTGGTATTTTGTAGGTCCAACGTATAGTATTTTATTCAGCTGTTTTCATCTAGGCAGATAATCAGTAGTTTCCTTTGTGACTTCTGGCTTTGTTGTCTCTTCCCTCCTTCTTTAGATTCTTCTTCCTTCCTCCAGTTTCAATTTTTCACATTAGAATATTTAGCCAAGTCATTTAACTGATAATGTGTAGAGTATCGACTGTGTGTGCCAGGCTTTGTTCTAGGTGCTGGAGATACAGCAGTGAACACACACACACACACACACGCACACACACACACGAAGAAAGAGAGAGAGAGTGAAAGAAAGAGAAGGGAGTGGAAGAGGAGGAGGAGGGGGATGAAGAGAGAAGAAAGAGAATACTCTAAAAAACAAATAGGATGACTAGATAGTTATGGACAAATTCCTAATGGCTAACTACTCTATCTCCTTGTGCCTCATACTACATTACTCCATTCTATCCTTGTTCTATATTCTTACATTCTTTAAGTTCTAAAAGGACTTAATCTGAATTTTCTCTCTTCTGAAACACTAATTTCATAATAAAGAAATTTGGAAACACATGGAAAAAAGAGATCATATCAGGAAAAATTTTATAGTGATTTCACCCCCGCTTGGTTCTTAATTTTGTGTCGGGACTTGCCTTGAAGTCTTTCCCTCGCCTGGATGACTTAGTAAGAGTTAGCTGTTGTATTCCTTGTGCATACTTTCTGCATTCTGTTCTTACATTCTGTATCCTTTCCACTTGATGTCTAAACAGAATTTGCTCTCTTCTGAATGCTGAATTAATCATGGAAGCTTAGAAACATGGAGAAGGGATCAAATCAGAGGGAAATTTATAGGGATTTCACTTCTTGTTAAGTGTTTATTTGTTTTAGGGTTTTTACAAGGTGCAAACTATTGTCTTGGAAGCTTCCCCTTGAAGATTCAACCCATAGTTCTCATTTCTAGATACTTGAATAGAAAATTGACATAATAGTCCTCGAAAAGTAGAAAACCCTCAGCCTCTGCCTTTGAGATTTTCCCCTTAAAGATTGGCTGCATGCTCCTAATTCCAGGTATCTGATTGGTCACCGTCTTAGTTATCTAGTGCTGCTATAACAGAAATACCACACGCAGATAGCGTCAACAAAGAGAAATTTATTCTTTGATAGTCTAGGAGGCTAGAAGTCCAAATTCAGGGCGCCAGCTCTAGGAGAAGTCTTTCTCTTTCTGTCAGTTCTGGAGGAAGGTCCTTGTTGTCAATCTTCCCCGGTGAAGGAGCTTCTCAGCGTAGGGACCCTGGGTCCAGAGGATGTACTATTCTCCTGGCTCTTTTTTCTTGGTAGTATGAGGCCCCCATGTCTCTCTGCTCACTTCTCTCTTTTATATCTCAAAAGAGATTGGCTTAAGACACAACCTAATCCTGCCTAGTAACATAACTGCCTCTAATCCTGCCTCATTAACATCATATGGGTAAGATTTACAGCACATAGGAAAATCACATCAGATGACAAAATGGTGGACAACCACACAATACTGGGAATCTTGGCCTAGCCAAGCTGACACACATTTTTGGGGGACACAGTTCAATCCATGACAATCACTGCCAGGCTTGCCTTGAGGCGCTGTCTTCCTCCAGGGTGATCTTCCTAAATCATCAATCTGCCTATGTCTCCCTATTGCTAAATTCAGTAGAATTTAGTTTCTTTGGCATCCTCAGTTCTTGGATGGGTTTTAAAAAATGACAATTTTTAGCTTATCCGATGTGTTCTCGTTGCTAGGGTGAGAGTGACAGTCTTTTGTGACTTTCCTTATCCTAAACGGATGGAGAAAATTTTGTCAAATTGCCCTCCAGAAAGATTACACCAATTTGTACTCCCACCAGTGGGTTATGCAAGTTTGGTTACTGCTTATATTTAAATCTCAGAAGCTGCATTAGGCACATGAGATAAAAAAGTTTCCCTTCACTTAATTTCAAAGCAATATTTTCTGATACTTTTAAATTAGAATCATTGATTGCAAAGATGTGGCTTCTGGAAAAGCCACTAAACATATACACGAAAAGTCTGGGAAAATCTTTGAAAATGGGAGCATAAATGCCCACATGGGGATCGCACAGTGACACCGGGAGCAGGAGGGTGATTTTCAGGCTGGGTGGGCGGAGGGAGAGTTGGTGATTTCTAGGTAATGTTGATTTGTACACTTCCTCTGCGTGGATCGGTTTCTTCTGAGATCTGAGTGGCTAGATGGAAGGGGACACTGGAGTCAAGAGATCTCTTTGGCCTGTTAATGTCTGAGATGCTAATCAGACAACATCCGAGCACAAGATCAAGGAGGCCATTGGCTATATACATGGTCTGGGGCTTAGTGAGGAAGTCAGAAGCTATAGTTCTGGTATGTTGTTCTTGTTAGGCGCCGCTGAGTGGGTTCCAAATCACAGCGACCCTGTGCATGACAGAATGAAACACTGCCTGGTCCTGTGCCATCCTTACAATCATTGCTATGTTTGAGTCCGTCGTTGAGCCCACTGTGTCAGTCCATCTTATTGAGGGTCTTCCTCTCTTGTGCTGACCCCTCGACATTACTAAGCATGATGTCCTTCTCCAGGGACTGGATCCTCCTAGTTTTGGTATAGAGATGGTATTTAAAGACATTGGGCTGGAGACATTGGACAATCAGAAATGGAGAGGGAAGCATGGGGACCTGCATTTCTGAGCATCCTTGGAGATCTTGTTGGACATTCAAGCCCATTTCCTCCCTCAGGGCTCCATGTTCATTCCTTTTTTTCCATCTCTGCCCTCTCCTTAGGTAAGTCATCTGGCCCAGTGTCTCTAAATACCATCTCTGTTCCAAACCTATAGCTTCTGACTTCCTCACTAAGCTCTAGATCATACCTCCAGTTGCCTCCTTGACCTTTGTGCTTGGGTGTTGTCTGATGGACATCTCAAACATTAACTGGCCCAACAGATCTCGACTTGCCAGTGTTCTCTATCTCAGTAAATGGCGCCATCTTTTGTCTGATTCTTCAAGTCCAGCGCCAAGCAATTATCCTTGATTTCTCTTTTTTTCTTCATCCCCCAAAACCAATCCATCATCAAGATCTTGTCGGCTTGGTTTCCAAATTATATCTTCAATCTGACTCCCCTTTTTTTTTGTACATCCAAGGCTCCCACCTGGTTAAAGCCACAATCACCTCTTCTGGGACTCTTGGATTCACCTCCCTTCTGGTCTTCTCTCCTCATTCCTTGCTCCTCTATGCTCCATTCTCTGCATAGCAGCCAGAATGATCTTTTCAACAGAATGTATGAGAACATCACTTCCCTGCCTAAACTACCTTGAGCTTTCCTATTGCACTTTGAGGAAGACCCCAGTCCTTATGTAGGTACCTGAGGCCTCATGTAAGCTGGCCCTCACCCACCGTGATCTCAACCCTTCCTACTCCCCACCTCACTCGATACATGTTGACTCTGTCTACACTGGCCTTCTTCCTTCCTGGGCATAGCAAGCTCGTTCTTGCCTAGGGGCTTTTTAACTGCTACTGTTTTCCTGGCTGCCTCATTTATATCATTCAGGTTTCAGCTCATAAAATAACTCAGAGAGGACTTCCCCGACTGCCTCATATCAAATAGCTTTCCAGCCACTCCCTATCACATCACTCTTCCTGCCTTCATTGCACTTACCTCTGTCTGCTGTTACCTTATAGTTTATTTACCTGTTTCTTGCCTCTCTACTCACCTCCAGATAGTAAGCTTTACAGGAGCAGGACCTGTCACTGTCTTATACTGGACCCTTAGTGCCTAGAACTGTGGCTGAAATATGATAGGTTCTCAGTAAATCTTTTCTCGAATGAATGAATGAATGGATTCCACTTTCTTAAAGGTCAGCATTTCACTGGGCTTCCTTCTTCTCTTCCCCCTTGGCCTGCTTCCTCCATGGCGTCCCCTCTGTTGTTCTCACACCCAGCCCACTCCTCTTCTCATCTCCAGATTTACGTCTTCATCTTTCAAATGGATATCCCCACTTAGATATCCTAAACTGAACTCATTATCTTTCCCACAAACTTCTTCCTCTCCTGTTCCAGGAATCTGTTGCTGCGTATCAACTACCTCAAACACAGTGGCTTAAAATAACAACAGTCATCTATTTCCCTCCCAAATATGTAATGTGGGCAGGTCTCGGGGACAGCTTGTCTCTGTTCCATGCAATTTAGCTGAGGAGGTGCGAACAGTTGGGGGTGCTTTCCAGGGGGGAGGGGGCTGGAATCACCTGGAGCTTGTTCACTCCCCCATGGCTGGCAGTTGGTTGATTCTGGCTATTGGCTGGGACCTCAGCCGGAGCTGTTAGCCAGGACGCCTACCTGTGGCGTTTCCATGTGGCTTCTTGGCTTCCTTACAGCGTGGCGCCTGGGTTCCAAGAGCGAGCATCTTAAGAGGACCAGGCAGAAGCTGTAGTGTTTTTTTTTTATGCCCTAATCTTGGAAATCCCATAGCGTGGATTCTGCCATAGTTACAGACCCACCCAGATTCAAGGGGAAGGAACATATACCTCACTTTTTGCTGGGAGGAGTGTTAACGTGACATTGTAATGAAAGTATGCGGGATTGGAGACGTTGTTGACCTCTTGGAAAATACGGTCTGCCACATCTCCCACTACCCAGCTGCCCAAACTGGATACAAAGCTTTATCCTCTTGCCTCTACCTCACCCTGCACATCAAATCAGAAGATTCTGTAGACTCTACCTTCTGAACATTTTTTTATCCACTCCAGTTTTTCACTCCAGGACCATGGCGTTGTTGTTGTTAAGTGCTGTTGAGTCGGCTCTGATTCAAACGAAACGTTGCCCCGTCCTGCGCCATCCTCACAGTCATTGCTGTTTGAGCCCATTGTTGCAGGCACTGTGTCCAGGCCATCTTGTTGAGGGGCTCCCTCTTTTTTGCTGACCCTTCACCAAGCGTGATGTCCTTCTCCAGGGACTGGTCCCTCCTGATGATATGTCCAAAATATGTGAGACAAAGTCTTGCTATCCTTGCTTCTAAGTAGCGTTCTGGCTGTATGTACTTCCTCCAAGACAGATTTGTTTGTTCTTCTGGAAGTTCATGGTATATACAGTATGCTGTATATGTCAACACCACAGTTCGAATGCATCAGTTCTTCTCTGATACTTGTTTTTCATTGTCCAGCTCTCACATGCTTATGAGGCAATTAGTAAAAAGAAACTAAAAAAAAAAAACCCTATTGCCATTGAGGCGATTCTGACTCATGGTGACCCCATGTGTTACAGAGTAGAATTTTTCCATAGGGTTTTCTTGGCTGTAATCGTCACAGGGGCAGATTGCCAGGCCTTTCTTCCGTGGCACTGCTGTGTGGGTTTGAATTGCCAAATTTTATGGTAGTAGTTGAGTGCAAACCAGTTGCGCCACCCTCCATTATTAATTGCTTGAGCATGTTATACTTGACCAACATGTCTCCTTAACTGCCAATCTCCTCTCCTTTCTGTACATGATGTTCTTGTTAGTTGCTTATGAAGAGCAATTTAAATATTCTGTTATTACCTTTATGTTCCTATATACCTATTTGAAAGGGAAACTATGAATTTAAGAATTACATGTTTTTCCCTCAAAAATTTGTAAGGGGATGAAAAATGAATATGATATTTTAAAGATTTATTTCAAATGACACTAATTCTTAACTAGATTTTCTTCCAGTATCCATGTTTTTCACTTGCAGTGACCTACGTCCTTTATAGGGAAGATAATCTTTGCCTTTTTTGTTTTCTTTTCCTACTAATGTTATTGACTAAAGTGCAGAGAATGACTGTAGAATTTCCATGGCAAGTCAGATGATTAGACGTGTAAACCTAGATATAGTAGAAGACATGATTGCTTTAGCAGCCTAATTGATTCTTTTAAACAGTGGAACAATTTTTTAGTATCTTAACTTTAAACACTTTTAATAAATACCTTTCTCTCTTATAGCCACAGCTATTGCAAATCCAATACTGTCTTCCCTAGACATTAAACGGATTTTATTTCAAAAAATTACTGACAAAGGGCATGAGTTGAAAAAAGCCTTCCAGCTGCTCGATACTGGTCAGAACTTGACGGTGTCAAAAAGTGAACTGAGGAGAGCCATCACCACCTTCCTTCTGCCTCTCACGCGAGAACAGTTTCAGGATGTGTTGGCTCAGGTACTGTATGTAATAACTACTCAGGGTAATCCAGTCAGAGAAAAGGTGAAGGAGATTGGAGGAACGTGTAATCAGTTTTCACTTTTTTCCCACTGTTCCAAATTAGCAGTTGAAGTTCTGTTTATTTTTCACCCTTCAGTCAATTAAATTCTGGCAGATTTAGGGTCTCAGTCAACATTTACTTGGGTTGTATTTTGTGTGTAGCACCGTTACAGCCATTTCCTTTCTTTTTTTTTTTTTTTTTTTGAGGCTTCCATATAAGAATATTTGGCTAATTTGTTTCTATTTTGGGACTTAGTATATGGCGTTGAATGGTTATTGAGCACCTTCTATGTGCTAGACCCAATGCTAGGGGCTGAGGATACAGATAAATCAGCCATGGTCCCTGTTTACGCGGTCCAGTGAGAGACTATGGAAGTGTTGATAAGTGCTGTTGTTGTGAGGTGCTGTTGAGTCAATTTTGACTCACAGCAACCCCATGTGACGGAGTAGAACTGCCCCATCGGGTTTCCTAGGCTGTAATCTACGTCTCACATACTTTGGACATGTTATCAGGAGGGACCTGTCCCTGGAGAAGGACATCATGCTCGATAAAGTAGAGGGTCAGTGAAAAGGAAGAAGTCCCTCAACGAGATGGATTGACACAGTGGCTGCAACAATGGGCTCAGACATAGCAATTGTGAGGATGGCGCAAGACTGGGCAGTGTTTTGTTCTGTTGTACGTGGGGTTGTTATGAACCGACTCGACAGCACCTAACAACAACAATCTTTATGGAAGCAGATCGCCAGGTCTTTTCTTGAGCAGAGCTGCTGGTGTGTTTGAACTGCCAACCTTTCGGTCGGTAGCCAAGCACTTAACCACTATGCCACTGCGGCTCCTTTCTGATAAGTACTAGGACAGGGGTAATTACAAGGTGGGTTGAGAGTTAGAGGTGGGGTATCTGTCTAAAAATGAGGGCTGTAGTCCTGGAAGGCTTGTTGGAGAAGGAGGCACTTAAGCTTAGTTTGGACGGAAGAGTGGGTGTTAGCTAGAGGAAAGAAGAAGAGAAGGGCAGTATGGGCAGAGGGAATAGCCTATATGAAGGCTTGGAGGCCTGAATTGACATGGCATGTTTATTCAGCGAATTGGGTAGGATCATTTATATCTGAAGTAAAGGAATATATTTCAAGTTGTGGCAAGAGTAGTGAGCGGCCAATCCTATAAGGTATTAAGTGACACAGCTTGACCTTTGTCGAACTCTCTGGAATCTGCAGGGAGCCGGTAAAGGGTTTGCACCTGGAGGTGATGCAGTCATTTGGGGAGGGATGAGGCAGATGAGTGCCCTTGGGCCTCTGGGTGATGTACCATACCAGGGGGATGCAAATAGTAAACACTGGGTGTGATCCGTGCCCTCCAAACCAAACCCAAACCCATTGCCACTGAGTCGATTCCGACTCATAGTGACCCCCATGTGTTACAGAGTAGAACTGCTCCTTTGGGCTTTTTTGGCTGTAATCTTTACCGAAGCAGATCTCTAGGCCTTCTTCTTCTGCGGTACCCCTGGTTGGGTTTGAACTGCCAACCTTTAGGTTAGTAAAAAGGAATAAGCAATACGGTAGGAATTAAACACTCTCAAAATAAATCTACAGGGATCAATATAGTAATTAAATCAAAAAGCCAAACCCATTGTCATCCAGTCGATTCTGACTCACGTACGACCCTATAAGGTCGCTATGAGATGATATAGTAATTACAACAGTGGAAAAATTGAGTTGGAATATTGATAGTGCTCCTTTCAGTCAAATAATGGAGTTTGTACAGGCGCACAGATAAACAAGCATTTTTTATTCATTTGTTAGTTTTTAACTGGAGTCTGGCTTCATGCTGTTTCATAGTATTTATTTAGAGACCTGTTTCTTTTCAGAGTTTGTTCTACACTCCAGCCCAACCCACTTTGCTTATGTGTTATGAAAACAAAGAGCTGAGTGAATTTTAGGTGTTCCAGAATTCCAGTCTTAACCTCAGGGACGGACTCTCATATCCTGTCACTGAGTTTGTTTTCTGTATTTGCAGATGTTTGTTGTTTTTTCTTGAGTATACCACATTACTGTTTCAAGGTTTTCTCTTCCCTTTAATTTTGTCTTTCACTGAATTCGGGAATGTTTCAGCCGAAAAGTATTTTTGCATCATTCTTGCTTCTTTTAGACTTTTTGATATTATCCCATGGGCCCCTGAGTCTCTGCTCATTAAAAAAAAAATATATATTTGTTTTCTATTTTGCAGATTGGATAATGTCCATTGATCTAACTTCAAGCTGACTGACTATGTCTTCTATTATCTGCATTCTGCTATGAAGTCCATTCAGTTAATTTTTTATTTTAGACATTGTATTTTTTAGTTATGGAATTTCCACATGGCTCTCTTTTGTATAATTTCTATCTCTCTACGTAGATTTCCTAGTTTTTCCTTCAGTTATGAGCACATTTCTTTTACTTCATTGATCATAGTTAGACTAGCTGCTTTAAAGCCCTTGTATGATAATTCTAACATCTTTCCCTTGAGAACAGATCACATTTTCTCTTTCTTCTCATTTGACTCTACTTGGATAGCATCCCAGACAAGCACTGTTCAATAGAAATATAATGTGAGCCACATATGTAATTTAAAATTCTCTGGTAGCCACATTAAAAAAAGAAAAAAGAAATAGGTGTAAATAATTGTAAAAATATATTTCATTTAATCAAATGTATCCAAAATATTATCTCATTTCAACATGTAGTCACTGTTAAAATTATTAATAAGATAATAATTTTAATAAGTACTGAAGGAGGAAGTCCAAGCTGCACTTAAGGCATTGGTGAAAAACAAGGCTCCAGCAATTGACAGATGTTTCAACAAACGGATGCAATGCTGGAAGTGCTCACTCATCTCTGCCAAGAAATTTGGAAGACAGCTACCTGGCCAAGTGACTGAAAGAGATCCATATTTGTACCTATTCCAAAGAAGGGGGATCCAATGGAATGCAGAAATTATACAACAATATTATTAATATCACACACAAGTAAAATTTTGTTGAAGATAATTCAAAATTAGTTGCGGCAGTACATCGACAGGGAACTGTCAGAAATTCAAGCCGGATTCCGAAGAGGACATGGAACAAAGAATATCATTGCTGATGTCAGATGGATCTTGGCTGAAAGCAGAAAATACCAGAAAGATGTTTACATGTGTTTTATTGACTATGCAAAAGCATTTGACTATGTGGATCATAACAAATTATGGATAACATTGTGAAGAATGGAATTCCGGAACACTTAATTTTGCTCATGCAGAACTTGTACACAGAACAAGAGGCAGTCGTTCAGACAGAACAAGGGGACATGGCTTGGTTTAAAATCAGAAAAGGTGTGTGTCAGGGTTGTTTCCTTCCACCATATTTATTCAGTCTGTATGCTGAGGCAATAATCTGAGAAGCTGGACTATATGAAGAACGTGGCATCAGGATTGGAGGAAGACTCATTAACAACCTGCGATATGCAGAGGACGTAACATTGCTCGCTGAAAGTGAAGAGGACTTGAAACACTTACTGATGAAGATAAGAGACTACAGTCTTCAGTATGGATTACACCTCAACATAAAGAAAACAGAAATTCTCACAACTGGACCAATAAGCAACATCATGATAAATGGAGAAAGGATTTACGTTGTCAAGGATTTCATTTTATTTGGATCCACAATCAACACCCATGGAAGCAGCAGTCAAGAAATCAAACGACATATTGCATTGGGCATGTCTGCTGCAAAAGACCTCTTTAAAGTGTTGAAAAGCAGAGCTGTCACTTCGAGGACTAAGGTGTGCCTGACCCAAGCCACGGTATTTTCAGTCACGTCATATGTATGTGAAAGCTGGACAATGATTTAGGAAGACTAAAGAATTGATACCTTTGAATTATGGTGCTGGCGAAGGATATTGAATATTATCATGGACTGCCAGAATAATGAACAAATATGTCTTGGAAAAAGTAAAACCAGAATGCTCCTTAGAAGTGAGGATAACAAGTCTTCGTCTCATGTACTTTGAACATGTTATCAGGAGGGACAAGTCCCTGAAGAAAGACATCATGCTTGGTAAAGGAGAGGGTCAGCAAAAGAGAGGAAGACTCTCAATGAGATGGACTGACACAGTGGCTACAACTATGAGTTCAAGCATAGCAGCAATTATGAGGATGGCGCAGGACTGGGCAGTGTTTCATTCTGTTGTATGTAGGGTTGCTATGAGTCAGAACAGACTCTGTGGCACCTAACAACAATAACAAAAATTAAAAATTGCAGTTTATCAGTTGCACTAGCCACATTTCCAGTGCTCAGTAGGCAAAACATCTATGGCTGTTTATTAAACAGAGCAGTCCTAAACATTTGTGAATGTTGTGTTGTTGAACCTCTGGGTTATGTTATAGTCTTCCAAAGAGTGTTGGTACTTTTGTTTGGCCAGGCAGTTAACTTGCAAACTGTGTCTTACCTGTGCTGAGCAGCAGCTCTTATTTCCATTCAGTTCTTTCATCTTTCGCTGGGCTGCTCTAAGCCTGAATTGCACATGCCTGGTTCAGGGGTCCGCTAGAAATTGGACAAAGTTTATTCATATAAATTGAGTCTCCTCCTCTGTCACTCTGCTCTTTGAGATTCCTCCCGTCCACTTTCTAGTGGTTACCTTGGGTTCTGTGCACTGGATTTTTAGGCCAGAAAGACAATGAGTTTTCTTTGGGGTTTTGGCCACTCTGTGCTGCATGGAGACTGTGGCTGGCCGGCGGGCTCAAAGCCCTTCAAAACAGGAGACTTGCTATATATCTGTCTCTTCTGCTAAGTTTTGACTTCCCTCCAAAATCTGTCTGCTTTTGTTTATTCCCCAGAGCTTTTATATAGGTTTTTTTTTTTTTCTTTTTTTTTGTATTTTGACCAGATTTTAAAGTTATTTTCTGTGGGAGGGTTGGTCTGTTGTGAGCTTTCTCTTGCCATACTAGG